GCTTTCTTCACCACATTTGCTTATTCACCCGCTTTGTCTTCAGCGGTTGTGTCGGGAAGGTGAGCATCATAGAATGCCAATTTACTAGAAGAATGCATACTGTATTCTTTATGGAAAAATAAGACATCCCCTGAAAATAAGACCTAGCAAGCATCTTTGGGAGCAAAAATTATATTAAGACACTGTCTTATTTTTGGGGAAACAGGGTAGTTCCTATTAGGGTTTATCTCAGATGTGTTATGTCATTGGGGGTGGGGTGTGTGTGTCACATTCTTGAATTTGTGTTATATATATTTTGCAGTACATGAGACTCAGGATTGATGAACCTACAAGGACAGCAAGTAGAATAAGGGTTTTCAAGGAGTCCAGGAAGAAAAGAATGTTTACAAACTGATTGTGGTAGTGATTGTACAATACCGCATGATGTGATTGAACTAAGGAATGAGATAAAAACTTCCAATTAAAAAAATAAATAAATTAAAGAAAAATGAAAGAAAAAATAAAAAGAATGCTGACTTTCTCTTATACGACTAGTTCTCAACCATGAACGAGTTTGCCGGGCAGAACATCAAGAGATGCTTTGGGGTTTGAGAAAGAGTTCTATTCTTTCCAAAATATATTATTTTAAACTCTATGATGATCCTGGCCTGTCACATGTAGTGGGCAAAAGGCAAGCACACTGCTAAAATATCTCACAATGTACAGTACAACATTTAAAGTGGAGAATTTTCCAATCAAAATGTTAACAGTACCAATGTTGAGAAATATTACCCATTAGTAAGCTAGGTATCATCAAAGTGATATCTGGAATTAGTAATAATTCATGATGAACTCAGCAGTTTAAAAAGTTATCTAATTTCACACACAGACATTTATGAGCTATATGAGTTATATATGTACATATTTCCATGAACATATCTGATAGCTCTCATTACTTACAACATCAGCAAAAGTCAGATATAATGCCAGAAGATAAGCACCTTTTCACACACAGACATTTATGAGCTATATGAGTTATATATGTACATATTTCCATGAACATATCTGATAGCTCTCATTACTTACAACATCAGCAAAAGTCAGATATAATGCCAGAAGATAAGCACCTTAGATTGGAAGTAAAAAAAAAAAAAAAATCAGAAGGCACTCACTCAAGATCTGAATGAAAAATGGGATACCTGCCCTCAAGTAGAGTCAAGCATACTGATGTGGATGGAGTGAGACTTTCTGGACCTTCACTGGCTGATGGGGGAAAACCCCAAGTGAGAAAACAAACAAACATAAAAAAACAGCTGCAAACATCCAGTACTAATCAGAACCTGGAATGTATTTAGATGAATCTCAGAAAATTGGGACATTGTCAATAATGAAATGGAATGAATAAAGATTGGTACCCTATGCATTAGTGAGCTGCAATAAACTGAGGGTGTGAATCAGATAATCATATGGTTTACTATGCAAGGAATAGCAAATTCAAGAGCAATGACATCACATTCATCTTCAAAATGATTTCAAGATCTATCATGAAATACAATGTTGTCTGTGATATATCTATATCCCTATAAGGAAAACAGTTAATACAACTATTAATCAAATTCATAAACTAAGCACTAGAGCTATAGATCAAGAAATTAAAGAATTCTATAAATTTCTTAAGTCTGAAATTGATAAAACATGCAATCAGGATGCACTGATAATTACTGGTGATTGAAATAAGAGCACACATAAGAAGAGCAAAAGGTCATTAAAAAGCCAAGAAAGAAAGAAAAGATCAAAGAGTGTAGTGGTTAATTATGGTCTTGTTGGCAGAAATGAAGCTGGAGATCATGACAGAATTTTGTAAGACAACCTCTTCATTGCAAATACCTTTAAGAGCATTATATGGCAACTGTACACATGAAATTCAACAGACAATATACTCAAGGATCAACCAGACCACATCGGTGGACGATGGAAAAACACAGTAATCAGGAGCTAAAATGAGGCCAGGGGCTGACTGATGAAAAGAGCATCAATCACTCACATGTAAGTTCAGGTTGAAGTGAATACAAAGGCTAAATATGAAGAAAGCAAAAGGTCATTAAGAAGCAAAGAAAGAAAAGATTAACATGGATGCCAGAAGAGATTTTGCAATTTGCTCTTTAATGTAGAATAGAAAAAACAAAAGAAATTATGAACTAATATGCTTGATACAATTGATGTACGGGAGGTTATAAGAGCTTTAAGAGCCCCCAGTAAAATGATTTATTTTAAAAAGGAACAATGCAACAAAAGGGAGGAACTTGAAGGCTTGGCATTATATATGAACATTTTTAAGAAGTCGTTAGAGCACACAGGAGCAAATGAGGGGGGAGGGAGAGAGAGTGGAGTACATCCTGGCCCACCAAGTCTTGAGGACGATATTACCGTTTAGGGCAGCCAATCCAGAGAGACCATATGGCTGGCCCCACTATAAGACATGACATCCCTCGTGACCCATAGCCCTATAGGGGACAAGACTGGAGACACAGTGTGGGAATTCCACCCAATCTGATCCCACCACACTGAGGCAAAACACTAAGGGCGTGAAACATAACAGCAAGGGGAAAAGAGCAACAAAGTCCCCAGGGAATACCAAAAATAGACCTTGGGGCCAGCGTTTGACACCCCAGCAGACTTGACTGGAAAACACTTCTAAAGACCAACAAACAGTCCTTGAACGAACTACAAGCTTTTCTTTCTTGTTTTGTTTTGTTTTTGGTTATTGGCTTGTTCTTGTTGTTTTGTTTTATTTTGTTGCTTGGTTTTGCTCTGTCTTGTTTTTGTGCATTTTATTATCTCTGCAGATCTGTCTAAATAAGATAG